AGAGAAGAGAGAGAGAGAGAGAGAGAGAGAGAGAGAGGAAGAGGGGAATAGGGGATGTGAAAGGCAGGGTCAATGGCTTATTAGGGTTTGGATTATATATTTCCAACCTAATCCAGAGTTTAGATTGGGAAAGGAATGGAAAGGATATAGTGTTTTTCATTAAATTACTAATGAATGTCCTTCATTACCCTGCCCTTACTTTCTCTTACGACTTCTTATTCTTTTGAATTATTTATTAATTCTTTACCCTAATTTTTAAGGAAAAAGCTTATATAAGGTTGTAACCTTAAAATGTAGAACTACGGATACACCTAAAAAATCCATCAGAAAATGTTATTTTAATGTTGAAAAACTCTGTGATTGATCATCTCAACATCAAGATGTATGACTATGAAAAATAAACAGATTTTGAGTCTAAGAAATAATGCATCTTACAACATATTATCAACACCGTTTATTTTCAAGATTTTTATATGTTTATAGATCTACTTGATTTTAACCATTTTGAAATTTAAAATTTTATAATAGATATAAAAATAGATTTTGAGATAACCTAATAACATTTAATTCTACAAGTTTTTAAGAAAATAATATGGAAGTGTCCAAAGCTTTTACAAAATCAAATGATCTAATTTACACTGATGAGTATAGTTTTAAATTGATTTCACAAAGGTACCTCTTCAAAAAAAATTAAAAATTGTCCAAATTACCGGTCTTCATGGTTGAGAACCCAAACAACGAGGGGTGTTTTGGTAATTTGGACCACCTAAGCGGCTCGATCCGAATTAGAAACTATATATGTAGTTGTTCAGGGTTGGAAAAAGGATTTACCAAATGATCAAAATAATTGCGTATGTTTAAGACTAGCAACTAGGAGTATTTCATCATTTGATAGTCATGTGTTCCCAAACAAAAGCAGTTACTGGTATTTTTGTAATTTGGATAGGGCCGCTCAAGTGTACCAAATTATCCTAAATGCCCCCGATTGTGTGGGATTTTCAACTTTAAAATGGGGTCAATTTGAGAATTTATTAAACAAAATTTTATATGGGGTCAATTTGAGAATTATTAAACAAAATTTTATAGGAGGTAGATTTATAAAGTGGAACTTTAAAAGTAACAACAGCGAATGTGATATATTTTGAGGCCTTTATTGATTTTGTAAGATAATTTGAGCCTTTATGATACCTTTTTTTCTTTAATATTGTCTAATTGATCCAACTACTAGTCGAACTGGGTTTTAATCAGACCAGACTCTTCATTATTACAATGGCCAATCTGTTTCTAATAATTGTGTTATTAGCTCCAAAAAAATTCAAATGAGCATGGTTTGATTGGTCACAGTATTTCCAGTACCACGTACCATTCAAATGCAATGGTCGATCCCCCAAAATAAATAATTTTTTTTTAAGTAGGTCCATGTGGAAAGAATCTCTTATCTGTGGTAGGAATGAAACTCAAGATGTCACATTGTGGCGCCCCTCTACACTAGCCACTAAGCCTCAAGCCCATTCTTTAAAGTTCTTTTTTCTTGTTGGGGGCTTATTCAGCATGGACAGGGTCTCCTACCTATGATAAGAATGTAACCGAAGACATCACACTTTAGTGTCCCACCATCCTAAACACTAAATGCATGTAAACAAGGATCAATCTTTTCTCCGAACTGCTATTACACATTATACACTAAATGCATGGGAACAAGAATCAATCTTTTCTCCAAACTGCTATACACATTATCAGATGCAGTAGTTATATCATTCACACAAATGTTTGCTCTTTGGTAAAATATGTCAAACTAAATGAACAATCCATACAATATTGATTATGAATTTGGAACCACTAAAGGTTCATATAGGAATTCTTGACATAACTTTGACATTTATCCAAACAGCCCATGCTTAAAACTAAAAGTTACACAACAGTGCATAACTTTTGTATCCATTACAACATTGTAACCTCAATATGATATGTTCATTGTCAGAACGTTTCTCAAATTAAGACCGTGTTTGCATTTGTGGGAGAGAGCTCAGCGCTAAGGACCTTTTCACAATGTGTGGATAAGCAGTTCAAGTTAAGCAAACAAGAGGCCCTCATAAAGGGCATTGGGATGGGTATGTTTCAGGGTGTTACCTTTATTATGTGGGCCCTGATCATATGGATCGGAGCGGTTGTGGTTTCTGCTGGGAAATCCGATGGTGGGCTGACACTTGCGGCAGTGATAAGCATACTCTTTGGTGCAATGTGAGTTTTTTTCCTTAATTACAGTTTTCTATCTTGAAGTTAAGGTTTTTCTCATTGACCATGACTTTCACCACCATTTATCATCACTGTGCAATGCATAGCCAGACTGATGAAATAGAGATGATTAATTATTATAAACAAAATACATAAGATAAAAACTGTAAGTTGAAAAGAAAGTTTAATGGGACCAGTTTATAGCCTTTGCATGCCACAAACAATCAAAATATTTATAGTTTCTAAATAGATAATTTGATTGGTTGCACTAGTGCATTGCAAAGGCGAGAGACTAGCTATCGCTAAACCTTATTTTCTTGCTTACATTTTTTGGACCGTCAATTTTCAAAGTTTTCATAGATTAGCTCAATATACACTATTTTTTAAGCTTTAAATTTTTTAATTAAAGATGAAAATATATTTTAAGGCTACCATAAATATTTCCAGTATTGAAACCACATTTCTTCATACTATTTGAAAGTGCACTTTACTTAGATTGTTTAGAGCCTCGGCTCTATACAAACTGCACCCTATATCTAAACATCCCTTTCCAAACACCTTTTCCCAAAAGAATTTATCACCATTCAATGAAAGCTTTTTATCTAAACCATATTTAGGCATGAGAACTTGCCTTGGTAGGTGATCGTCTTCTTGTGCCTTTTTTCACCACCACTAAGTCAACAAGGCTTTATTCATTAATTCAAGCCTTTGGATGTCCAAACCCCTTTCTTCAAGCAGTGTTTGAAAACTCGCCGAGTCGAACCGGACTCGCCCGGTTCGACTAGGGAATTGACAGCCCCGTTTCGGTTCTAGCATAATACACGAAACTGCCCGTGTCTAGAGAGAACCGGGCGGTTTTAAACAGTGAACCGCCCGAGGACATCATAAATCGATGGTTCTGACGTCACCACTCTGATTCTACACAGACACGTGCTGACGTCACCACTCCGACACGGACACGGGCTGATGTCACCACTCCGATACGGACACGCCATAATACACGAAACCGCCCGTGTCTAGAGAGAACCGAGCGGTTTTAAACATTGAACCGCCTAATGACGTCATAAACCGACGGTTCTGACGTCACCGTTCTGATTCTACATAGACACGTGCTGACGTCACCACTCTGACACAGACACGCGGACACGTGCAACAAAATCCTGTGGCACATATCACACGTAAGGTTGCCCCAGTGTTTCCGCTTGCATGCTTCATAACATATTACATAGTTATTTACATAGCAAAGTTGAATACCCATCATTCGATGTGGGATAATTCCCAAACATCATTAAATAAAAACGGAATGTAAATATATTCTATTAATAGGCAGCATATAATCACATGCAGGGAGGAGGCGCGATGGTTATGACCTCCGCTATTTTCTTTGACCTCCCAAGGTCGAATCCCCTTAGGCGTTACGTAGTGGTATAATTATTTTTGTAAATAATATAAAAGGCATAAAAAAAAAGAAAATAATAAAGTTAAGTTTTTGTATAGCAGTTAATTTTTGTTGTATATAGTGATATAATTATTTTTGTAAATAATATAAAAGACATAAAAAAATGAAAAATAAAAAATTTATTCTATTTGAAATCTCTCTCTTTCTACTAACAATCTCTTTCACTAAATTTATTATAGAAACCTAAAAAATTAAATTTTTTAAAAATTAAAGTGTTATTTCCAAAATCTGTATGCATTTCATTAATTTTTACATTAATAACCAAATCTTTTATTTTATTTATTAAATTTTACATTGTAAATCATGTAATGTATTATTTTTCTTACAGTTGTCAATAATACATTTTAAATTAGATAATGTTATAAAATATTTTTAATTTGTTATTATTTATATAATGAAATAATTATAAAATGTAAACAAATAATTATAATT